TTTCTGGTTTGATGCGCCTCAAAATCAAGTTCCAGATGGCGTTCCCTCACATTGAAAAGGTGGAGATGTGCTTCCTGGAGAGACCCAAAATCGATTACGTTTGCAAGCCTCTCGGAGGCGAGACCTTCGGTTTTGACATCAACTTCATCCCCGGCCTTGAGAGTTTCATTCAGGAGATGATTCACGCTACGTTGGCGCCAATGATGTATGCGCCCAATGTCTTCCCTATCGAGGTTGCAAAGATGCTCGCTGGCACACCCGTCGACAGAGCCATTGGTGTGGTTGCTATCACTTTGCATGGTGCGCAAGGCCTCAAGAACCCCGACAAGTTTTCTGGAACCCCCGATCCCTATGCTAGCCTTTCTCTCAGCAAGAGGCAGCCTCTTGCGCAAACCAAGGTCATCAAGGAGAACGACAATCCTCGCTGGAACGAAACGCATTATATCATTATCTCCTCTTTCAATGACTCCCTCGACATTGATGTTTTCGACTTCAATGAGATCAGAAAAGACAAGAAACTTGGTACCGCCTCCTTCCCTCTTGAGAATCTGGAAGAGATCAACGAATTTGAGAACGAGAGACTCGAGCTTAAGTACGATGGCAAGGCTCGTGGCGTTGTGTCCTGTGATATCCGTTTCTTCCCCGTGCTTGAGGAGACTAAGCTTTCCGATGGCACTGTGGAACCTCCCCCAGAGTCAAACACTGGTATTCTGAGCTTCACTGTTGAACAAGCCAAGGAACTGGACGCATCAAAGAGCATGGTTGGCCAGCTCAACCCCTACGGAATCCTTCTACTCAACGGCAAGGAGGTGCACAAGACGAAGACGATGAAGCGCACAAACCAACCTATCTGGCCTAACGGCTCCAAGGAGATTTTGATTACGGACCGCAAGAACGCTAAGCTTGGTGTTGCCCTGAAGGATGATCGCGATATTGCCGGAGATCAACTTCTGGGCACATACCAGATCAAGCTAGATGATATGCTCGAGCTCATGGCCAAGGGCCAGGACTGGTACAACCTCGCTGGTGCCAAGACTGGTCGGGTGAAGATGATGGCCCAGTGGAGGCCGGTTGCCATTTCTGGTGCTGCTGCAAGCACTGGAGGCTACACCACGCCGGCCGGTGTCTTGCGCTTGCACTTCATCAATGCCAGGTCCCTACGCAACGTGGAAGCGCTCGGCAAGTCTGATCCATATGTTCGAGTTCTGCTCTCTGGTATTGAACGTGGTCGCACTGTCACTCACAAGAATAATCTGAACCCCGACTTTGACGAAGTTCTCTACATTCCTGTTCATTCTGCGAAGGAGCGCCTCCAGCTCGACGTTATGGATGCCGAGAACATGGGCAGAGACAGGAGTCTAGGCCTTACCGAGATCTTCGCCGGTGATTACATGCACAAGGACCCCGAGACTGGTGAATGGTTGGTTCACGAGAAGAAGGAACTTCACCAAGATGGTCTACGCATGCACGGAAAGGGCGTTGCCAAGGGTGTTCTCTCCTACACGGTTGCCTTCTACCCTTGCCTCAACGTTGCTGACCCAGAGGATGATGAAAAGGACGAACAAAGCGACCAGTCCTCTGAGCCTAAGCAGTCCTTGGATGTTCCGAGATCCTCCGACGCTGGCCAGTTTTCCTCCACTCTGGAGAGAACCAACAGCATCAAGCCAGAGAACGGCGGAACTTCGAGGCCTATTACACCCAAGACGCCGGTCACTCCCACTTCTATCGCGCCTTCGAGGAAATCCAGGGATGAGAAGGAGCCGCCCAAGCTTCACCTCAACCCACAGGAACTGCTGCAGTATGAATCCGGTCTGGTTATTTTCAAGCTCATGGAGGCAGAACTCCCGAAGAGCCAGTGCCGCGTTGAGGTTTGCGTTGATGATTATGCTTTCCCGTCTTATGTCTCCTCGACTTCAAGGACGAAGACCCACACTTTTGATGAGATTGGCGATTGCTTTATTCGTGAGCTAGAATTCTCGAAGCTGACAATCAAGATCAACGAGCGGTCCGAAAAGCAGGAGGAAGGTGGCAAGGAGAACACGCTTGCTCGTCTGTCAGGAAACACCCTCGATACACTCAAACAATGTCTCGTAAGTCTCATCGCAAGTGGGTAAATGCAAATATTTCAGACCATGGCTAACAGTCACATCACAGAACAACCCAACCACCCTGAAACTCAAGAACGAGGATGGCAAGGTCTACTCGATCAAGGTTAGCCTTAAGTACGTTCCAGTCCGGATGCAGCTCGACCCCAGTGAGAGCATCAACAACATGGGCCATCTTCGTGTCGATGTCCTGGATGCCCAGAACCTTCCGTCCGCCGACTCCAACGGCAAGAGCGACCCCTATGTCAAGTTCGATTTCAACGGCCAGGAGGTGTTCAAGTCCAAGACCGTGAAGAAGACATTGAATCCCACCTGGAACGAGTTCTTCGAAGTGCCGGTTCCAAGTCGTACCGCAGCTTCCTTCAAGGCTACTGTGTGGGATTGGGACTTTGCCGATAAGCCCGACTTCCTCGGTGCTGCGGACATCAACCTCGGTCAGCTCGAGCCCTTTAGAGCACAAGAAGTACGGCTTACTCTCGATGGCAAGTCGGGCGTGCTCCGCCTTCGCCTCCTTTTCCGCCCCGACTATGTCACCAGAACCAGACAAGGAACGTCAACACTGGTTGGTACATTTTCTGTTCCCGGGAAAATCGTTACAGGTGTCGCAGGCGTTCCTCTAAAGGGTGGCGCCGCGGTTGCTGGTGCCGTTGGGCACGGTGTTGGCAAGGGCGCGTCCTTCATCAAGCGTGGCTTCCGCAGTCACACCAAGAGGGATGATGATTCGGATAGCATGACCAGTAGTTCGGTCGAGCTTCCTACTATCGTCACTAATGCGCCAGAGGCTGCTTCGGGCCTGAAGCGATCGGCAGTTATTACCGAAGGTGATGGCTCATCGCCCAACGAGCTCCGTCATGCGCGGACAAGGAGTGTGGGTGCATCCTCTGTTCGTAGCGCCATGTTACCTGGAGCATCATCTGGAACGGCTTCTTTTACGGTTGTGTCTGCTTCTGGATATCCTCCTTCAACAGATGTGTACGTCACGATTACACAAATGAAGGATGGGAAGTCAAAGGCGGTTGGCAAGACCAAGCATCGCAAGTCTTCGAGCGGCACTGTCAAATTTGACGAAACCTTCAATATTCAGTGCACGCCTGACTCGCAGTTCAAGATTGAGGCGAAGGAGCATCACACCTTTGGAAGCGATGATCACTTGGGGGAGAGCGTCTACTTTGTTGACGAATCAAACTCCGGACAGGAAAAGGCGCTGAAGGTTGGAAGCGGAACAGTGTACATCAAGAGCGGGTTCGCTCCGTCTGAGAGTGCCCAGGACGCATCCAGCGCACTTAGCCCCGATCAGAGCCCCAAGTCTTCTAGTATGAGGAGGAGCTTCCTGAGCAAGGGTGCTCGATCCCCTAGCCGCGATGGTCCTTGATCTGGTTTTGTACGTCTCTTGTGTCGTTTGGAAGGAGTTCACGTTGATTATACGGTGGCTTAGTTTGGCTAGGTCTGAAGGGATGATTGGGGATAATTAGGGCGTATCGAGTAACGTAGGATACTTTGGCCAGCAATGATACCTTTTTTGCAGTACAATCTCCCTTGACGATGTATAAGTGCTACGACCTCAGAATCAAGGACTTCTGACGGTCTTTGATCACATACAACACAAATCACTACTGGTTTGTTCGTTAGCTTGGTTCTTCTTTTATGGAAGAACAGGGGCAGGATAAGAGGCAACCTATTTGATAGTCCTTATTGGCCTTGGAAAGAGAGTCACTCGCCTCCATTTGTCAAGTTTCGACAATGACCAGGGCTTTCAACGTCGTAGAAGCATCTCTCCGTCCTCTTCAAAACGTCAAAATACAAATTGACAGCATCTATTCTCGAGAATCGCGGTCGCTTTACCAAGTCTACCTAAGCTCTAGCTTTTTTGTACCGAAGAACATAACAAACGGACCAGGTCGGTATTGTAGTCAGCTTCGTTGGGGAAATCTGATTGCAGTCCGGCGGTACTTACAACGCTTCGTCTGAAGAGAGATCTTAGCGGCCAGCCGGGTCTGGGAGGAAGTACCGTTTGCCGCCAAATCACACGTGGGTTTTGTGACGCTAGTTCTTGCGGAAATTGCGTCTGGAGCATATGATGCAAACGGCAGGCGTATGGACAGCATGGAGGCAGGAAGGAATTGGGAAGTAAAAAAATATGCCAAAAGTTTCTTTCATCCTACAATTCTGTTCTGTTTTTGGTTGTCTCGGTCCGGTTTATTGTCCTTTTCGACGTTTAATCAACGCTAAACAGACGAGATGTATAAGAAACCTAATGGAAATGCCAAGCGATGCCATGTCGCTGTTAGTGTTTAGTCCCGTCTTCTTCAGGGGGTGACAGGGTAGGTGACATGGTAGGTTACTTCCAACCCAAGGGAAGTTGCCGTGGTTGGTGGTCGATCCACATGCTCCCGTCCCGCAGGAGGGGTCTCCCCTAAAAGGGTGCAGTTCCTTAGCGCCCCTTGCAGAAGTGGCTCCCAGGCATTACCGATCACCCACCCGACCCACAGGGGCACTCCGCTGTAACGTCCTGAACAATCCCGAGTAGCAAAGGCCATTCCCAGCCAACATCGCAACCAGCAACCTCAAGACTCCAGTTCCAGCTGGATTGTGAAAGTGTTCAAGAAGAACTGGAGCTTCATCCCAGTCCGGTAAACATGACCTCTTCATGACCTTGCCCTCTTCTAACGTTTGGATCAGAGCCTGGCACGTCGCGCCCTGTCTATCACCTCTGTTTTCGTCCGGATCGAGAAACGGCACCACGACTCACAGCATCGGCATCGAAGCCCTCGAGTATTCCTAACGTACCAGTGTTCCACGACATCGTGAAGCCGATCGCAATCGATACAAACGCCAATCGCCTGCACTGAACCATTCGCGGTTACCGCCGATATCAAACAACTTGTATTGCCTAGGATGGATCAGGCCGATATACCGGCGCTGCTCTCGCGCCTCGCTAGTGACGAGGATGCAGCGCGCAAGATGGCAGTGTTCAAACTCCAGTCGTCCATCAACGACCCGGCTTTCGCCGATGTCTTCATCGCCTCGGGCGGCCTCGTCGTTCTACGCCGCCTCATAATGACCACTGGCGGAAACACGCTGGCATATTCGTTACAAAGCTTGAGTCGACTGCTTGAAGTCGACATGGGCTGGGATATCTTTGAGGGCCCCAATGCGGGAGAGCTTGTCGAGCGTGTGGTCGAGCTTATTGTTACCAACCCGCTCGTCAATATTCTACGGGGCGCCATGTCCATCTTGGTCGGCCTTGTCAGCCATTCGCAATCGACGGCCCGCGGGGGCACGCCACGTACGCCAGGCACCTTTGGTTTCAGGGCGCTCAAGCCTGCGGTCGCGGTGTACCCGCAATTCTTCGAACTGGTCATCATGCAGTTGCAATCGGCAGACCACGCCCTTTGCGCCAATGCCTTGATGCTAATCAACGCGCTCATACGGGATGCGGTATCCAACGACAGTGGGCCTACCTTGCTCGTGTCAAGCGCAAAGGGGACAGTGCCTCCTGGTGAGGAGTGGTCCAAATTTATCAAGAAGCTTCAGGATCTGGGACTGATCAAGGCGGTGTACAACCTCATGCAAAGTTCATCGTTGCAGGACCTCGCGCACTCGTTACTCGAATTTCAGACACTCACAAAGATCCTGCTTCAAAAATGGAGGGCGGTCCGGGTGGACTTGGAGCGGCCAGAGCACAGGAGAGCGCTGAAGGGTTTACATCTTGCGAGCGCACCGGAAAGACGGCAGACTAACGGAGGCTTGACGACCTTGTCCCCCACAGGAAGACCATCAACGGCCGCGACAGTTGTGGCCAGGGAAGAGGGAGAAAAGGAAACCGGCGGTGAGACTGCAGCAGGGAGGAAATCAAGCCGACGACATAACCCCGAGAAGTGGAGGAGATTAGGCTTCGAAACAGAATCACCCGCATCCGAGTTCGAAGTGGCCGGCTTCCTAGGCATGATGGACCTGACAGACTACGTGCGCAAAAACGAGGATGGCTTCCAGAAGCTGCTGCTCGAGCAGTCCAGCAGGCCACTCAACGAACGATGCCCCGTGGCGCGGGCTAGTTTGGCCGTGACGATGATATTGTATGAGCACTTCGAGATTGAGAAATGCGATCTGGACGATATCAGAAACGGCGGCTACTACCAGCTTATCGACGGAGGCGGCAAAGCCCATGACAAACTCTTCCGCCCACTGTTGCTTCAATGGTCACGACTACACACCGCGGGACTACATGCCTTCTTCCGGATGTGGAAGGCGACTGGGGCGACTCGATATGATTTCGACAAGGTAGCAGAGCTCGTTCGGATCTTGATCGATCAAGTGGTCGGGCAAGCCAGCAGGAGCAAGGACGTGCTGGAGGTTGAAGATGAACTGCATGAGTATGATTCCGGAAGGCTACGAGAGCTGCAGATGGATCTGCTAGAGCTCTCATTCGAGGATCAATGGGGTTCCCATCTCTTCCAGGTTCGTGAAGAACTTAAGCACGAAGCACTGCAGTTCGTCAAAGAGCAGCGTATTCGTTGTCTTTTGCAAGGTTCGTGGTTCTCCAAGCCTCAGCCACATCGATCAGAACACTCTAGGTCAGAAAGCCTCAAACCCGGCCAAGAAAAGGGTAGCCGACTGTACCAGCCTTGGCGTTTCGCAAAGCTTTCGCACAACAGGCGATATCTTCATTACGCCGACTTTGCCGAACAGACAGCACACGATCCTGGTCTAGAAGCTTTGACGGAGAAGATTGATTTGCTCTCCACCAGCTCGGTGGTATCGAACGTCTCCAACGCGGATGATGCCGCAGCAGCAGGAGAGAACGGAAACCAGGCGTCGTCAAGCTTAACGAGTCTCACCAAGGACGCCAATTCCGCGTCTGCAGCGGCTAAATCGACAACGAAGATCACCATCTACAGCCTTTCCGAGAATGTCGCACCAGAGCTGGCCAGCCTCGCCGCAGCAGGCAAGACCAAGGAGCAGCCGATCCTGACGCTCCATCCCCTCAACCACAGTTTGGCATCGGAGTGGCTCGATGGTCTGCTTATGCTCCTCAACCAGGCGCCCATTACGGCCGAGACCAACAAGCTCGTCACGCTGGTCAGCGATTACGGCCTCAAAATACGTCTTCTCAATGTTAGGGCTGAGGCGGTGGATAATGGACCGGTCCCGGGCGGTGGTCAGGTGCCTAGTCGGGAGGGGCTGGATGAGGATTATTACTATGAGATCTGAGGCTGATGGTTGGACCTTGTCGACGGTCTCCGTTTCCTACAAAGTCCCCCTTCATGTCTTTTCCAGATTCGGCCTATCTGATGTTGGACTGGAGGGATGTCATTTCCATTCTCGTCCACAGGCATCTCCGCTGGAACTCAAACGCGCTCCATTTTGTTCCACCTTCTTTCTTCACGCTTACATCACCTTTGTTACTATACCCAAGATCCCGTTATTCTATCATCTTGTTCTATCTACGTTATTCTACCTTGCGTCTCACTCTACGCGGAGCTTTCGGTTTATTTAAGGGTTGATCATACTGTATTATATCATAGAAGTATTTGCTAAAAGATAATTTCCTGGATCATAATGCCTCCCTACGCCAGTGCATTCTTGCAGATGATGATCGTGGGAGATTTGCATCAGGCATATACAGTTTACTGTCAAAGGTCTCATCTAGATCGAAGGAGAAACATAAGCTGGAAGACGGGAACGGTGGGGCTTGCCCCTGATTTCCGTCAGCTCTAACAGGCACACGTGCCCCTGCACTGTACACAGAGGTACTTTATCCTGCGGCGGGAGCTTATGAGCGCGGATAGACCTGTTAGTGCAAAGCAACCGCTAACACCAACCACTCTGCGTGAGCTACGCCTGTACCTACCTGACAGCTAACTGGCCAGAAAGCGAAGAGGTTGCTCTTTGATGCGGCTCATATGCACATGCCAGCCGATCTTTCAGTAGCGTCACCGTGACCTCAGCTCATCCCGACAACCTTTGATTGATCGTTTCAGGCTACCGGGAACGAAAGATGGGCCATCTTAGCTACATTCAAACATCGCTATATTCTGCCCTCTGAATCATTGCGACTTAACCTCTGAACATTACTCACAGCCCAGCGAGGTATTTTCGCCAGGGAGACGACCTTAAGGGGCGAGGTTCGTCGGGAGACCTGAGCACACTGAGAACAAATATCTGGGGGCATCCAGCCCCCCACCTGGGAGATATTACCTGTGTAGTGTCCCTTAACCATGGGCAGAGGTAACGGATTCTTCAAGAATCCTCATCCCGGATTCTATAATCGAGAGCAAGGAAGATGGTACTGTGAGTGTTTGAATCCCAGCCAAGTACGGCCGGTAGGTCAGGTTGACAGACGATGTTTGCTCACAACTCGCGTTGCACACAATAGGCAGCTGTATAAATGGGCCGCAGTTGGCAGTTCGACTTCAAGTCAAGAAGGAAGGGCCTAATCAGGGCAGGTTTTTCTACACGTGTCGAGAGCCCCGGGACCTTGGAGCGATTCCGGGCCAGTGTGGGTTCTTTCTTTGGGAGGAGGCAGCGCAGGAGCGGGAGAAGAAGGCGGAATCGAGGCCGGTGGTACAGCATTCGGAGTACGTGCCGGACTTTGCAAGTAGAGAGCGGATGCCGAGACTTCCTTGGTTTCCCCCTTACGGCGAAGGTTTGCATTTTGTCGATGAACCTTATTTCGGGTGCTACGAAGTGGAAGACTACGGCTGGGCTCCGGATACTACGGTTGATGACGATTTGGACAGTGTGAAGGTGAAGAAAGAAGACATGGATGACAGTGCAAGCGGGTTATCAGCGATCAAGCCTTCCAAGAGGAAGCGTCCGGCGGCGGCGGCGGCGGCGGCGACGATGCGTGAAGAGAAGGAGTACGGCGACCTTGAGTCGGACGAGGAAAGGCAGCTGGTTCAAATTTTGGAATCAAATCCTCCCCATCCGAGTCAAGAACAGCAACGCAGGGGGACCAACGTCCCAGCGCCGGTCTTATCCCAAGCCCGAACAACGAGCAACACAACGGGGACGGCGATGCCACACCCCGGCACTCGCACCCCGAACCCACAGCGGACATATGATGCCTCTGCCTCTATGCTCACCCCAACTTCACGAGGGAACACCACAACCTCAGCATCTGAACCAGGTGCAACAAAACGCGTCAAGCTCTCCTCCGATACCAGAGGGCCATCACCATCACGACCACCATCAACAACAACAACAAAACTGACAACATCTACAAACCCGAGCCAAACCCAAGGCCGCTCTTACCAAACCACCCCCACAGGCGGCGGTATCGGTAGACCCACCACGACGACGACGACGGGGCCAGGGTCATGCGACGACTATGAAATCACCACCTCAATCCTCAGCCTCCTTTCGAGCGAAAGAGGAGTTTCAGACGCAACCCGCCAAGCCATCCGCGACAAGCTTAACACGTATGCACTGCGCATGCGCGGCGTCGAGCGGGGGCGCGACATGACGAGGGCAGCGCTCAAGGCTAAGGAAGCCAAGGAGGTGGAGCTGAAGGCGAGGATCGAAGAGCTTGAGAGGGAACGGAAAGTCGCTGCTGATAGAGTCAGGGCGCTGAGGGATGGGTTGGGGGAGTTGTTTGGTGATGTTGATGGTTGTGTTGATGGTGGTGGTGAGGGTAGAGCCTAGGAAGGGTCAGGTGGGAAATTGGGAGTGGAAAGGCGGCAGGTTGCAATTTCACAGAGGATGGAATGGTTGCTTGCCGTGGCGGAGGTTTCTACTGCCGCTGGTGTTGGGACTTGGTTAGGTTTTGATCATGGGGGAGATATGAGCACGTATTGTAGGTGTCTGGGAAGTTATATGTATATTTTTTCTTTGCTGTCCTTTTTTTTCCCTTTTTTTTTCCTTTTTTTTTCTTCTCTTTTCTGTACCTGGTTGGGATACCATCTTCCGATTAGTTGAGGTTCTAGTTGGGACAAGTGACGGATGCTGGGTTTGACAAAGAGCATCACTGCTCACTGGCTTTATTGGTGTACGTGTATTGGAATTAATGCTGTGTTTGGGGTTCGCGATACTGCCAGCTACAAGGTATTCAATGCACAATGGGAATTCGAGTTTTGCACTTCAGGAACAACTTCGTCGTAAGGTCTGATGTAAAAGGGCAAAGGACATACTGAACCGGACAACGGACATTGGGGAAAGGCGCGTCGAATCAAAAAGGCCGCGTTAAAATGGTCCAGGATGGGGCAAATTTGATTTGGTATGCACTTTACACTACAGCTAGCGCCGAAGTCCCCTTGCGTGAAGCGCGAAATCGGGGGGAAAAAATAAACGGCTTAGCGACTAAGGTGCGCTTCTGGTCGAGGGATAACCCTAACCCCCATCTCACTTAATTTCCTATTTCGGATGACTACACGACATGCCGCGTTGAAGACGCGGTGCGGTTCGTTAAAGATTCCCCATAACCGTTTCCCTCTACGTCAAGTACCTACTATTGCATGTCTTTAATCACCATCCTCCAACCCCCCTACGCACCGCCATTGCCCGCCTTCTTGCGCCTTTAGCTGCATTCTACTTACCTTTGCAGTTTTCCAACTTTCTCAAACTTTTACTTTTTGGTCTATACCCTTTCTTGGGTACACGTCTTCTTGTCTTATACCCAGTAGGGGACTATTGTGTTACTCTTGACGTCGGTTCGTTGTTTTGGGAGCACATACCTATACCGACGCCATTGATCCCAACAGATACCATACGAAGTCACCGACGTGACGCAGACCGACGAACAGTTTCCCAGCAGGAGTATGCATTGATCGGTTCACCATATCCTGTTTTGGCCTGCACTCGCCAACCGAAATGGACACTCTCGCCCCAACACCCTCCACGCCCTCTCCTCAGCTTTCCTCCGCTGTGCCTGGCCTCGCTCACGAGGTGGAACATGAAGAGCTCTCCCAGAGTACCAGTCAAAACCAAGTCTTTGAATCCCCATTGCTGAGGGAATCGCAAACTCCAGCACCGCAGCTCTCGTCACAGCCGTCCGGAGAGGTGGAGAGACATCCAAAGGGGAAGAGAAAACGAACTACGTAAGTTTAGGTCCAACCGGCTTCGGGGCCGGCTGCCGAGCTCTTCCATCCCATCTTTGCGACAACACGTGGGACTAACCGGACTGCGATTCGCAGAGCAAAAGACAAAGCCATACTCGAGGCAGCATACAATGCGAACCCCAAACCCGACAAGGCAGCGCGTCAAGACATCGTGAACCGCGTCTCCTTGAATGAAAAAGAAGTTCAGGTTAGCCATAACGTCACCACCAATAGGTTCACCGCGCGCAACAGAGCTAAGCTAACGCGCATGCCAGATTTGGTTCCAAAATCGCCGACAAAACGATCGCAGGAAATCACGTCCCTTGTCCCCTCAGGAGATAGCCGCGCTTCGATACGGCGGTATGCAAATACTGTCCTCAGACAACACCCTTCCCGTGTACACCTCCGAGCCGGAGAATACCTCGCCCATTCAGGTTGTTTCAAGTTTAGAACAGGAATACTCCTCGCCTCGGGAGGTTGCCTCGCCTAGCAAACCCGACGACCACGAGACCGAGCAGAACCACGAAGACACGCTCCAGGAGGACACTCTCCCTCTACCAGAACCGCAAATCCAACCTCCAGAGGAGCAACAAAGCTTGCCTCACCCTGTATACGCGACTCCTGCCCAAAAGCAAAGACACGCCATTGACGACGACTCCCTCCTAATGTCTCAGCATTTGCCGAGCTCGGTTGGCTATCTGTCCAGCCGATGGAACTACCCAGCCCACTCCCACGTTCTGTCAACGCCTATCAGCTTTGACCGAGGAGACGATTCCTTCAACACCTTCCCTCCTTCATCATGTTCGTCTTCGACCTCTGCGCTCCGTCCGCGCCTGTCGACGGGTCTGGACGGCAAGGCAGAAGTTATCACCTCCCCGCCACAGAATCCTGCCAGCCTCCCACCATCAGAGCTGCAATCATTTGACTCGGCATGCCGGCCCAGCTATCAACGTGGCCCCAGTGAATCTCCAGTTACTCTACCACCCATCTCCACCATTACTAGTAGTCTTCCTTCATCTCAAAATGCTGCCCCATTGCTGCCTCGCCTTGCACGCGGAAGGTCTCGCGACGTTCATGCCTGGGAGTTCGCTTGTGACGCGGAAAACTGCGAAGACGCGCTGACAGTGCAAGCCAAGCACGAGAGTCGTGGCTCAGCAATTGCAGCCATCAGTCTGCTGCGGTCGACGACTTCCAGTACCGCCGGTGGCAGCCCATTGCAACTGAGCAGGAGCAACAAGCGTAACGCCAGCATTAGCCGGATGACTCCCCGAGCGGACAGTTCGGCCAAGAAGCCCCGACTGACGAAAGGGCTGGATGCCATCGGAAGGCTAGAGACGCCCAACAAGAACAACACTTGGGCGGGAAAGAGACAGTCTTTTACAGCAGACACGCCGGCGGATTTCAGTCACAACACCAAACCCAAGTCCTCATCCCTGTTCATCTCCCCACAAGGCAACGAGTCCGACAAGGAGAACTGGAGCCCAGACGAGAACGGAAACCCTCGCTTTTCCTACCACCC